CACCACGGCTCAGACCTCCAGCCCCCTCCTGAGACCCTCGTGCCCTGAGTTCCTCCTCCCCACCCCACAGTGTAGAGTCTGTCCTTTACAGGTCTGTGCCAGTCTCATCCGTCCATCCATTCATGTGTGTATTATCTCTACTGAAGGGGTGAGGAGGACTCTCATGTAAAAATCCCAAATCCAGTCCTGACTGAAACCCCGCAGTGCTGGTCACAGTGCTGGTTGGTCCAGGTGTGGCGAGGGTCTAACTAAGAGAAGCAGGTGGGGGTGGGGCCAGCATCCTGACCCTGGGGGCATGGGTTGGGGTCTCCTGCTGCTGCCAGGAAATACGGAGTGCCTGGTAAGGCAGTCAGGGAGCAACAGCTGGTGGTCATCAGAAAGATAGTGGACTTCAACCTCCAGCTTTCTTTGTGAAGTTTCCTGATGTCTTTGAAATTCAGTGTTCTTTTTTCTTTTTTTAAATAAAGACTTTACTTATTTATCCATGAGAGACAGAGAGAGAGAGAGAGGCAGAGGCACAGGCAGAGGGAGAAGCAGGCTCTATGCAGGGACCCCGATGCAGGACTCGATCCCGGGTCTCCAGGATCACGCCCTGGGCTGAAGGCAGGCGCTAGACTGCTGAGCAACCCGGGCTGCCTGAGATTCAGTGTTCTTATCTACAAAATGGCCAATTGTCACCTCCTTGGATGGCCCTGGAGGAAAACTGATACACAAGAAGGCTTGGGCTCATGCTGCACCTAAGGTCTGAATAAGCACAGCTGGGCTACTGTTTGGCGGCTGTTACTGCAGCCCTGCTCCAGGGAGGCCCTGGGAGCGACCGGGCCTGCGGCATGCCTCCCGGCCTGCCACTGGGAGTGGTAACCTGGGGTGTTCCTTCAGCATTTTGGCTCCACTGACATCCCTAAGGGCAGGATCCAGAGGGCCTGTCGGGTCCTCACCTGGACACTCAGTGTCAGGGGAGAAGGAGTGTCCCTGCCTGTCATGGGAACTCTGGAAATGGTTCATGGCCAAGTCTGAGTGTATGGGTGCGACCAGAGCAATTCAAGCGGTCTCATGGGGAGCTGATGACCTAACTGCAGGAAGTGCTGTACCCCTGACTCCACCCTGAGATCCAGCCCCTCCAGAGTGACCCTCTGGTCACTGGCACTCGCGAGGGCCACCTGGGACAGGCCCTGGCCTTGGTGACCTCCAGTTCCTAGGTGTCTGCCTCCATACAGTCCTATTATATCCGTTCCTGATCCTACAAAGAGCCCTGCACTGATCAGAGCACAGTCCCGCCTCGGGCTCCCCAGCCTCCAAGTGACCTAAAAAGAAGTGCCTCCTTAAACTGTGCTATCAGGCACCTTCCAGGCTCACCTGGCCTTGATCCCTAGGCCAGACAGGTCTGATTCATGGACAGCCCCGTGGGGGTGGGAGGCAAGGGGAACAAGCACAGGCTGTAGGTCAGGAGAGCTATGGCACACCCTTAGGCTGTGTTCCCGGTGGCCAAGTTCACTCCCTGCAGCAGCAAGAGCAGCAGGAGCTGCAGGGTCACAGGACCTGGGGGTGGGGGGCAGCTGCATCTCTAAAGACCCTTGCTTATCCACCTCAGACGCCATATTCAGTGCATCTTTAACTGTAGGAGGATTTGACAGTAGGTCAACACAACTCTACGGGGCAGTGACCTGTGGTCTGTCCGTCATGCTGGGCAAAGGAAGCTCAGTGCTGTCCCGACCTGGCCCCACTGGCGAGGGTTTCTGGGGCTAGACCTCATCCCCCACTGTACTCAGCCTGGAGAGTCAGCCACCATACCTCTGACTGCCTGTTGTCCCCTGGGTCAAACATGGTGAGTTTCTCTTGGTAGAACTGTGAGAAAACTTTCAAAACAAAGGGTGTGTGTGTGGGGGGACACCAAAACCAAGGACATCAGAGTTTCCCAAGGCCTCTGAGAGTCACACTCTGAGCCACAAGTCTGCAGAAGACCCTGTGTGGACTTTTTTGATCAAGGCCACAGGTACAGACCATCTCCTGTCTCTGAGCCAGGCAGCTCGGCAGCCCCCCACCCGGCCTGGAAAGGGCTTCCTTTCACTGCTGAGCTACTGTCTGGCTTCTGTATTCATTGTGAGTGCCAGCCCCTACCACTACGTCCTGCCTGACCTGCATACAGACCAGGAAGGTTCACGTACTCATGCTCAGGCTGGTTCCCCATGCCCTTGCCCCCCGACACAAACCCACATAGGCAGCCACTGTAAGCAAAGGCTGTCACAGGCCTGATCATTCCTGTTCAAAGGCCTTGTCCAGGATACGGGCTGTGGGTCCTGGAGAGAAAGCTGGGGACGCTTCACCCACATGCCTCACAATCTTTAATCAGAAAAAGCAAGCAGATTAAAGGGCACCCTAGCAGGTAGGATAGATCACCGTAGTAGGATTAGGCTTGGACTATGCCAGCGCATCTCTGATGCCCCTCCTGGGTCTGGGTTAAGAGTGTTTCCTTGAAGTTAGAGGAAGGAAAAAGAGGAAGAAGGAAGATAAAGGAAGATACAAATATGTGGTCACTTCCTTTGGTTAGAAAAATCCGAAGTCTGGAAAGAGGGGATGGCATGCTTCTCCACTTCAGGGTGCTGCCTGTCATCAGGTAGGAAACAGGTAGTGCACTGGGGAATGGAGAGTGCCCACACTGTGCGTATCACTGAAACAGTGTCTCCAATAAGAACATGGCATGATACCTAATCTCTTTATTCCCCGTCTTTTTTTTTTAAATATTTTATTTATTTACTTGAGAGAGACACAGAGAGAGAGAGGCAGAGACAGAGGCAGAGGGAGAAGCAGGCTCCATGTGGGGAGCCCAACATGGGACTCGATCCCAGGACCCCGGGGTCACGCCCTGGGCTGAAGGCAGATGCCAAACTGCTGAGCCACCCAGGGATCCCCTATTCCCAGACAATCCTTAGGCAGAGCAGAGCTCGGGCAAACAGACAAGCCAAGACTTAGCTTCGACCTGAACACTTCTTCATTCCTAATGGCTTCAGAACACGAAAGGGAAGTGCTTAGTAAAGTCAGAAACCCAGCGTGTTGGCCCTCGAGGGGTCAAGCATATTTGGAGGCACCCAGAGGCTCTGCGTGACCAGCGTGGCCTCTCTCCGGGTCACCCGTTTGCCGGCCCCGGGGTATGGCTCTGGCCTCCCCGGGACACGACATCACAGCCAGGCTGGGAACAGCAGATTCCGATCTTCAACTCCAGACACACTCTCCGATTTACCTCCGCAAAACCGGAGCTGTCCGGTCTTGCAGGGCCAAACCCTGTAAACAAGTCCGCTGCCAGGCAACTGAAGACAGGGACCTGAATAAAGACGCCCTGTGAGGGATGAAAAACAAAGCTGCTCCGGGGAGACCCAGCTCCAGTATCTCTGGCAATGGGTTCGAGATCACCCTGAACTTTGTGACGTTTTACTTTCTGTTTTCGTGGCTCTCCCTTTCGCACCAGAGCGACGCCCTCCAGTCCACGCACCGCGTCCTAATTTTCTCCGAAGAGCCGCCGGCCATCCCGCCCTGGAACTCATCTGAGAAAACGGAGAGGGTCCCCTGGGCACGGCGGTGGCCTGCGAGGCCGGGCTCTGTTCTCCGGGCAGACCCACTTCCGCGACGGTCCGACGGGGAGCGAAGGACCGGAGAGGCCTCCCTCCCCGCCGGCGGCCCTCGGCGCGCGGAGCGGCCGGCAGCGAGCGCAGGCCCCGGCCCCGCCCCACACCCACCCTCTGGGGACTCGCCCCGGCCCCTCACCGGGCTCCAGCAGATAAGCGCGTCGGTGTCCGGGTCGCTCACGAGGGTCCACAGCTTGGTCAGGAAGGCCGGGACGTTGCTGGGCCCCGCCGCGCCGGGGCCCACGGGCAGATCCATGCTGGGCAAGGCGGGGAGAGGCAGAGGTGACGACCGCGAAACGGAGCCGAGGGCCGGGCTAGCGCTGCCGCCGCGCCTGCCGCCAGGGGAGCGCCGCCGCCGCCGCCGCCCGCTGCGCACACACGGCCCCGCGGCCTAGCATGGCCGCCGCCATCTTGCGACGGGCGCGCTCCCGCCGGCGCCGCCCGCTCGCGTCACCCTGGCGCGCGCACGCCGGCCCCGCCCTGTCTCCGGCCGCCGAGCGCCTGCGCGTGCTGGCCCCGCCCACCGTCAGGCCGGGAGGGGAGGGGCCAGCCCCGCCCCGCAGGCCCCGCCCCCAGCCCCACGCGGCCCGCGCTGCCGGAAGTGGCGGCGCGGGTCGGGACCGGCCGGGCAGCATGGCGGGCGCTCGGGGCGCGGGCGGTGCGGCGGCGGCGACGGGGGCTCGGCCCGGGAAGCGGCCGGGGGGGCCCGAGGCGGCACCGGAGCCAGAGGAGGTGACGCGGGAGCGGGCCCGGGCGGCGGGGCTCGGGCGGCGGAGCCCGGGGCCGCACATGGTGGCGGGTCGGCCCACGGCGCGCGGCGAGCCCGGGATCGCGAGGAAGAAGGGCTCCGGCTCCTGCGCGTCCGCGGCGGCGGGGCGGGGGGCGGGCGGCCTCCGGGGGGTTGGCGTATTGAGGCGCTGCCGCGCGTCAGGCGTGTTCCGCACGCGGAGGGCGCTGTGGAGGCCGGGGTCCCCGCGCTGGACGCGTGGCCTGCGGGGGCTGCCAGTCCGTCCGGGCCCAGGGCCCCGGGAGCTCGTGCGGCTCCGCGCCGCGTCCCTCTCCCCAGTGTCCCCCGGGTGTCCCTCCCCCGGGCGTCCCCCTCCCCAGTGTCCCCCGGGTGTCCCTCCCCCGGGCGTCCCCCTCCCCCAATGTCCCCTGGGTGTCTCCCCCCGGCGTCCCTCCCCCGGGTGTCCCCCCTCCCCCTGGTGTACCCCGTCCCCTGGTGTCCCCGGGTGTCCCCTCCCCCGATGTCCCCCCTCCCCCAGGTGTCCCCCTCCCCCGCGTGTTCCCCCTCCCCCTGGGGTCCTCCTCCCCGGGTGTCCCCCTCCCTCGGGTGTCCCTCCTCCCCCTGGTGTACCCTGTCCCCCCCCCCCCCCGTGTCCCCAGGGGTCCCCCTCCCCCGGGTGCATGCCTGTGGCAGGTGGCTCCGCGCCCAGGTGACTCTGCCACACGGAGTGGCTTCCTCCCCGCATGGCCTGTTGTGCTTTTATTTGCTGTCGTAGTTGTGTGGCTAAGTATCAGAGATGCGCACTGTGATTGAGCTGAAATCAGAGTCGTTTCTGTGAAAACTGTTCTAGGAAAGACTTCTAAGGCGTTTCCAGGCTGCCTCCCTGGGTGAGAGCTGTGGACTGTTGAGGACTGACAGCCAGGATTCTGTGCTCACATGCTTCCTAGAGGCTACAAGTTCTTCGTTTTTTTAAAAGGCAGGGACAGGTTCCCCCAGCGTGTCCTGGAGACTTAGGATGAAATGGCATCTGAAGCAGAGCTCTGCTCAGGAGCTGGGCCTCACCCAGGAGCGGGGGAGTAGCTCTCTACGTGTCTTTAAGTAAAACTTGGATCATTTTTGTCACCGTTCAACCCACTTTGACAACTTACCTCAATGTTGGTTTCAGTCTAGTTGGATACGGGGGGCTCCTGTTTCAGGGATACAAGCCCCTGAACGGTCCTGTCTCTGCTGGTCCCAGTCTCTGCCCTAGTGCCCTCATAGCTCTGAAGTTTGCCAGCATGGGGTGGGGAGGATGGAGAGCCCAGGGTGGTAATGTGATGGGAACTGAACTCTTAAGAAAGAGGTGTCCTTGAGAAGTCCCTCCCTTGTGAGATGCTGGAAGTTAAACGTTCCTTCCAAGGGCAGGCGGCCGTGCTGCCAGTGGAGGCGGATGGGCAGTGGGGAAGGCTCCACCCGGGTGCTGGAGGTAGAGCCTTGCGACCTGAGGGCTGTGGCCTCGGAGGCTGGCCACACAGAGCCGTGGGTCAGCAGGGTGCCTGCTGGGTGGTGGGCGGCCTGGGGGTCTGGCCGTCATCACTACTGTGCTCCTTGCAGTCCTCTTTTGCTGGTGCGCCTGCTCCCAGCCTCCAGGAGGGCAGCGATTCTGGCCTGTCTGAAAGTGAGGAGAGCGTGTTCTCAGGCTTGGAAGATTCCGGCAGCGACAGTAGTGAGGATGACCCGGCCGAGGAAGAGGAGGAGGTCAGCAGTGATGAGGGCCACAGCGGGCAGAAGACCGCTGGGCAGCAGGTGAGTGAGTGAGGAGCCTGCTGGCTGGCTCTCTCCAGGTGAAGGGGGTCATAAAAGAAAGTGACCGCCAGGTGTTAGGCTCTCTGAGGGGCTGTCCCCGCACTGTGCCCTTCTCCCAAGTTTCCTGGGGAACCCCAAGGGCCACGATGCACCCGTGGGCACATTTGGGGCCATGAAGAACACTTGCTTAGAGCTGGCTTGCTCTGAGCTCTTGGGTGTTGTTTTTCAAACACAGTTACGTGTTCTGTTCTCAGGAACTCCAAAAATCCACATGCCTGGGCTTCCTCTTCAGATGATTCTGAAATCCCCTTTCCATGACCCTCAGCCCACTTGGATAGACTCAGTCGCAGGCCGGACCTTGTGGGGGCAAGGCCTGGGGTGGGGCTGGGGGGAGCTCTCGGGACACGCAGGAGACCCCAACACCCGAGCCTGATCCCAGGGAGCCTCACTGCTTGAGGCTTTGGCGCTGTACGTGACCCTGTGATGATGGGGAAGGGTGCACTTTGCCATGAAGTGAGAAAAATGAGAGAAAAGCTTAGTTTAACTAAAATACAATATTTGTCATTTGGAACGTTTGAGAGAGTAGTTTATAACTATTGGTATTCTTGGTGGGTCTGGTGTTGGGTTAATACCTTGAGTCATACGGAAATCCACTCCCATCCACTCCCGTAATAGAAACCAAAAAGCCAAGCTTATTTGATTGTTTCCTAAGAAGAAAGGATTTAAAGTGATATTTAAAGCTACCCCATTCAGGCTTTAACCATGATGCTGGCGTGCACATTGGATGGTGTGTGAAGTGTACTGACTGGTTTGTAGGATGATGAGCAACTGTTTTTCCTCCCTTTTTTTTTTAACTTTTTAAAATACAACATTTTAAAATACATGTTAGGGGATCCCTGGGTGGCGCAGCGGTTTGGCACCTGCATTTGGCTCAGGGTGCGATCCTGGAGACCCGGGATCGAGTCCCGCGTCGGGCTCCCGGTGCATGGAGCCTGTTTCTCCCTCTGCCTCTCACTCTCTCTCTCTCTCTCTGTGACTATCATAAATAAAAAAATAAAATAAAATAAAAAAAATAAAATAAAATACATGTTCGGAGGATCCCTGGGTGGCTCAGTGATTTAGCACCTGCCTTGGGCCCAGGGCGTGATCCTGGGGTCCTGGGATCAAGTCTTACGTCGGGCTCCCTACGTGGAGCCTGCTTCTCCCTCTGCCTGTGTCTCTGCCTCTCTCTGTGTGTCTCTCATGAATAAATAAAATCTTCAAAAAAATAAAATACAAGTTCCTTGACAAAAATTAAGCCTTTTCTCAAGACTACTTAGTAAAGAGTTAAAGTTCTCATTACTCTTGTTCTACTTGGTGACCACGGCTAATAGTTCAATCATTTTTCCTTTTTTTTTTTTTTTTTTTAATTTTATTTATTCACGAGAGACACACAGAGAGGCAGAGACACAGGCAGAGGGAGAAGCAGGCTCCATGCAGGGAGCCCGACATGCGACTCGATCCTGGGACCCCGGGGTCATGGCCTAGGCTGAAGGTGGACGCTCAACCGCTGAGCCACCTAGACTGCCCCTCAATCATCTTTCCATGTCTTTTCTCCTCCTCTTAGAATTAAGGATCCACACATCTATTTATTTATTTATTAAAGTAGGCTCCACACCTGTGAGATCAAGACCCAAATCACAATCAAGAGTCAGACTAAACGACTGAGCCACCCATGCACCCCTGATTTTTTTATTTTAAAAGGGGTTTTTATTATTTTTTATAAATAAAATTTTAAAAATAATTTTTAGATTAATTAGTTAATTTCTGAGAGAGAGAGAGAACGCATGCTTCTGCATGAGTGGGAGGGGCAGAGAGAGAAGGAGAGAGAGAATCTTTTTTTTTTTTTTTTAATTTTTTTTATTTATTTATGATAGTCACACAGAATGAGAGAGAGAGGCAGAGACACAGGCAGAGGGAGAAGCAGCCTCCATGCACCGGGAGCCCGACGTGGGATTCGATCCTGGGTCTCCAGGATCGCGCCCCGGGCCAAAGGCAGGCGCTAAACCGCTGCGCCACCCAGGGATCCCTTTTTTTTTTTTTTTTTAATTTTTTTTATTTAGGAGAGAGAGAATCTTAAACAGACTTCCCGCTGAGCAGGGAACCTGATACAGGGCTTGATCTCAGTACCCTGAGATTAGGACCTGAGCTGAATTCAAGAGTCAGATGTTCAACCAACTGAGCCACCCAAGCATCCCTAAAAATAATCTTTAAAAATTAAATAATTTGGCGGGGGGGCAGCTGGCTGACTTGCTAGGTAAAACATGCTACTTTTGATCTTGGGGTCATGAGTTTTAAGCCCTGCGTTGGGCATGGAGCCTACTTTAAAAAAAATTTAAATTACATTTTTTTTTTAAGATTTTATTTATTGATTTATGAGCAGCACACACAGAGACAGGCAGAGACACAGGCAGAGGGAGAAGCAGGCTCCTTGCAGGGAGCCTGACGTGGGACTCGATCCTAGATCTCCAGGATCATGCCCCGGGCAGAAGGCGGCACTGAACTGCTGAGCCACCCGGGCTGTCCTAAATTACTTTTTTAAATAAAAATCTTCTATCTGGGGGCGCCTGGGTGGCTCAGTTGGTGAAGCACTGTCTTCGGCTCGGGCTGTGATCCCAGGGTCCCGGTATGGAGCCCCACATCGGGCTCCCTGCTCAGCGAGGTGTCCGCTTCTCCTTCTCCTTGCTTGTGCTCTCTCTCAATCTTTGTCAACATCTCTGTCTCTTTCTCAAATAAATAACAAACCTTAAGAAGTTCTACCTGAGGCCCCTGAGTGGTACAGTCAAGTGTGTGTCTCTTGATTTTGGCTCAGGTCATGATCTCAAGGTCGTGAGGTGGAGCCCCACGTTGGGCTCTGTGCTGGGTGTGCAGCCTGCTTAGGATATTCTTTCTTTTCCCTGCACCCCTCCCTTTAAAAAAATTTCTATTTAAGTTCTCTAAGCTAGGTAACATGTGCAACTGTTTCAAGAGGCTGTCCAGTGGAGGAGTCTGGGGGGAGGGGCGCTCATCCTGGTGTGCGCGTGCTCTGTCCCTCCGCGCTCGTCCACCCGCTTCTTCCTTGGGTTCCTGCTAGCGAAGCTCGGGATTCTCTGCAGTACCACGTTCTTGGGTCTGCTTGCTCGCTCGTTGGGCAGGGACTGAAGCCACAGCCCAGCAGAGAGTAAATGCCCTCCCTTCTCCAGAAGGTGGGGGGCAGTTCTCTGAGGGCGGAGAGGCTGCACCTGGCTCTGCAGCAGCCTGACCCCTGCCCCTCAACTTGAAGCCAGGACCAGGGCCCCTCCAGGGTGTGCTGTGCTGGGGCAGCGTCAGGACTTCACCCTCCTCAGCTCCTCTTGGGGGAGGCATCTCTTCCTCCCATCTCACGCCTGGGCTCTGAGGGCCATCCCTGTCCCCTGGGGGTCATCCTGGACGTGAGCCCACAAGTCACTAGGGGTTCTGGCTTCCACTTACCATCCTGGACAGCCACCCCGGCCTGGGGGTTTGCGTCTCTGGCTTTGTCGTACTTGTGTGAGGGGCACAGGCGGCCCCTGTTGGAGGGGCCCTAAAGCACGTCTTGTGGTTGTCGTCGTGTGAATATTTCTAGGCCTGAAGGGGGGGTGTTCGAAGTCCTTCCTAGAACTCTTCCCATATCTCCTTTTTCCACCTGTTCTCGGAAGCCATCCCTACCCATCCAACTGGTGGAGCTGGACTCCCCCCGACGTCTTCTGCTCACACTCACTCTTTGGATGGTCTGGGCCCTGTTTCTAACCAGCAGCCAGTCCCCACTTCCCGCTCTCCTGTCTTCCCACGGTCATGGCTGCGTGGGGGGTCCGGGAGCTTTGTGTTGGTGGGCACTGGTTGGGCCTGCGTTTGGCCGCCCGGAGCCTGTCCAGCAGCGCCTGCAAGTAGAACCTTCCTACCACGTTGGGGGTTCCACTGGGTCAAGGTCTTCTTGGGGGTCTGCTCTCAGACCTTTGCCTGTTGCAGCCGGTGGGTCGTCACGTGTCCCCGTCAGGATGCTCTGCCACTGGGGTGGGCCATCAACACACGGCCCCCTTCCGTTGAGCCGCTTCTAGGATTGGTGTCTCGCTGCCACTGCCGGTTCTGTGGATCCACCCTAGCAGGGACTGCGGCTTCTGCTCGTGCGCTCACCAGCTGTTCCAGCGTTTTAACAGCGAGTCCCAAGAGTTCTTGGGCTCCCGGCCAAGGCCATCTGTACGGTCTTGTAATTAGCGGCCTTAGGTGAGCTACTTCTGCAAGGCAAAGTGACGTTTTCCTGGGGACCCTTGGGCTTCTGCGGCCACAGAAAAGCCCGGCTACTCCTACTCCTTGCCTCCTTGCCGGGCCCGGTTCTTACCAGGCTGCTGACAGCCACCACGCCACAGGGCTGTCCACCGACCTCTTCCACTGTGTGCTCCCATCGCTCTTCCACATTCAGTCCCCTTATCCTGTGTCAAGGCTTCACCACTTCCAAAGATGGGCAGGCAACCACCGGCTGGCGGCTCGGCTGGTGGCTCCACCACTGTGCTGCGGGTGCCTGAGGGAGCACCACCAGCCCGCAGGTGGAGATGGAGATGGAGGTGGCCAGGACACAGCCTGAGGTGCCCATTGCAGGTGGGGTTCTCCCAGCTTTTCTGACTGCAGGGCCACGCCCCCGGCCCAGCACTCTAATCAGCTCAGTGACCGGTCCGTCTGCCTTCCTGTTCCCGCAGGACTGTCGGGGGGTCCTGCCCTGGGAGCCAAGGGGGCCAGGTGTGTCTGCCACAGGCCTTCCCAGACGGGCTGTGAGCGTCCTGCTGAAACCATCCATGAATGGGAGTGGATGGCCAGCTGATCACACTCACGTCCTGTGGAGACTGCCCTGAGGGTCCTCCCTTCCCCGCGGGAGGAGATGGGGCTCTGTGGCCAAGATGCCCAGGCTCGTCCGCGGGGGCCAGAGCCCACTCCTGGTGGTGCTGGGCTGCCCTGGGCGCCACTGTACG